ACATGCCAACATCCAGTTATGCTAGCACCATTAGTTGAAGATGCTTTCTTTTTTCCATTGTGTAATTTTAGCTTCTTTGTCAAAAATCAGGTGTTTGTAGGTGTGTGGGTTAATATCAGGGTTTTCAACTTGATTCCATTGGTCTACCTGTCTATTTTATGCTGTTTTCAGGACTATAGCTCTATAGGAGAACTTGAAGTCAGGGATGGTGATGCCTCCAGAAGTTCCCTTATTGTACAGGGTTGTTTTGGCTATCCTGGGTCTTTTGTTTTTCCATATAAAGTTGATTATTTTTCTTTCAAGGTTTATGAAGAATTGTGTTGGTACTTTGACGGGGATTGCATTGAAGCAAAATATCTAAAGCAGAAGTAGAAACATGTAGAGAGAAGCCTTTTTCTTTTCTGCCGCTTTGGTCCCCCCCCCACCAGTCGCCTGGGCTCTGCCGCGTTGTAGTCCCCAAATAAACACACAGGAGGCTATATTAATTATGAAGTTGTTGGCCTTGCTTGTTTCTTACTGGCTAGCTCTGACTTAAGTAATTACCCCATAATTGTTAATCTAAGTATTTCTCTTACTGGAGAAGTTTCTGGGCTTCTTATCCCTATGGCGGTTACACCTTGACTCCCTGTGTTTCTCCTACCCAGAGTCCTCCTGGACTCCTAGCCCCACCTATCTTGCTTCCCTATTGGCCAACAGTGCTTTATTGACATATACACAGGACTTCCCCCATCAGAAACAGACAAAAATATACATTTGTGTACAAAAATCTTGTAAACAGAAATAGGAACATATACTCCGCATATATACATATATATAAACAGAACTAGGAACACACACAAATATAATTTTGAATTTGTATCAACATACAAATTAACTTAGACAGGAATCCAAAATTAATTTTACAAACTTCTTACTGGCTTGCTCCCCTGGCTTGTTCATCCTTCTTTCTTATAGAACCCAGGAACACCAGCCAGGAATGGCACCACCCATGATGGGCTGGGCCCTCCCCTTCTGATCGCTAATGGAGAAAATGCCTTACATCTGGATCTCATGGAAGCATTTCCTCAGCTGAGACTCCTTCCTCTCTGATGACTCCAGCTTGTGTCAAGCTGACACAACCAGCCAGTCCCGGAAATTAAGGAACATTTGTACTGTAAGGGCTGAAAGTCTGCAGTGGTTCTCAACCTTCCTAATGCTGTGACCCTTTAACACAGCTCCTCATGTTACTTTGCTACTGCTATGAATCTTAATGCAAGTATCTCTTTTCTGATGGTCTTAGGTGACCCCTGTGAAAGGGTCATTCGAAACCCAAAGGAGTTGTGACCCACAGGTTGAGAATGCTGGTCTAGAAGTTGGGCTTAATAAGGTGTACATCTCACAGCCGGTCACAACTACAAAGGGAATAAATGAGGTGGTTTTTTTGTAGCATCTGAGGAGGAAGAAGATGTCAGAGACACTGTCTCAAAAACAAACAAGCAAACCAGGTAGATGGTACCAGAGCAACAACAGCAGGGATTGTCCTCTGACTTTCACACACACGTGCAGACATGCACATATGATCCACCCCCCACTCACACACATGCACAGATATGCACATATACACACAAAAAGGAAGGAGAAAGAAAAATGTAAGGACCTGGCAAATAGCAATAAGCTGAGGTGGGTGTTGTGATATACACCAGTAATGGCAGCTACCCAGAGGCAGAGGCAGAAGGTAAGGACGTCAAGCTCGGCCTAGGTCATGTTGCAGAATCTTCCTTTACACTGTGGGAAGACATGTCACTGTGATTGGTTTAATAAAAAGCTAAATGGCCAATAGTTAGGCAGGAATTTCAGGGCAGAGAGAATGCTGGGAAGAAGCAGGGGTCACCACCAAGACACGCAGGATGAGAGGTAAAAGCCATGAGCCACTTGGAAGCACATAGATGATTAGAAACTGGCTAATTTAAGTTATAAGATCTAGTTAGAAACAAGCCTAAATTAGAGGCCAAACTTTCATAATTAACAGTAAGTCTCCATGTGGTCATTTGGGAGCTCGCTGGTGAGACAGAGAAAGACTTGAGGCCAACATCCAGCCATGCCTATCCACATAAGGCCTGAGAAAGCTAAGAAGACTTCTGACAAGGAGACAGATACGGCTTCCTGGTCTGGCAGTCTTTCAGGCCAGCTGGTGCTTGGCGCATACAGAGAGACATAGCTACCAGCTGCTGCCCGTGAGCTGGAGCCAGCCACCAGTGCTGTGAGGCAATGCCATGCTCTAAGCTGAATGGTAACTGACACAGCAGTTTAAGGTTGTCTCAGGGTCTAGACCAGGCTGGGGAAACCACAGAAACAGCTGACCTGAGCACATGGGAGCTCACGGACCCCATTTTGATAGCTGGGGAACCAGCATAGAACCGAACCAGGGCCCCTGAACATGGGTGTCAGTTGGGAGGCCTGGGCAGTCTATGGGGCCCCTGGCAGTGGAACCAGTATTTATCCCTAGTGCACAAATGGACTTTGGGAGCCCATTCCCTATAGAGGGATACTCTCTTAGCCTAGATGCATGGCGGAGGGCCTAGGTCCTGCCCCAAATGATGTATCAGACTTTGATGATCCCCTGTGGGAGGTCTTACCCTCCCTGGGAGTGGGTAGCAGTTGGGGTAGGGGTGGGTAGAGGGCATGGGAGGACTGGAGGTGTGAGGAGCCGCCCTCGCTATCACTATCGCCATTACAAGATGGCGCCGACATCCGTTGTCGGTTGGAGTTCACCGTTTAAGCTGTGCCTCTCCCGTGGCGTCATCTGGGGTGATGAGCAAACCACCAATCTCGGCTCTACACGTCTCACTCGGAGCTCCCAGGCTTATATAAGGGGCTGGGTTTCTTAGCTTGGGGTCTCCCTTTCAGAAGCTGATCATCTATCTCTCAAGATGTATTAAAGCTTTACTGCAGAAGGATCCGAGTGTCCTGCGTCGTTCTTGCTGGCGAGACGGTAGCGCGGGACATGGAGGGAGAGGGAACTGGGATTGATATGTGGGATAAGATCATTTTAATTTTGTCACACTCTATCAGGGAGCTCTGCATGTACTCAGTAAAGACAGACACACACAGAAATAAACTCTAAGCAGGTTACAGTGTGTTAAAAATATGCATAGGCTTAAAGAAAGAAAAGGAAATGTGTATAGACAGTCATAGAAAAATAGTCATAAATAATAAAATCTTTAAAGAGAAAGCAAAATAATATAGAAAGGATAAACCATGTGGAGATGGGAAATGCATGGGGAGTCTGGGTCTTGTACGTTACTGTGTTGTCCTTGAATTTTGTGATTGCTGATGAGCAACAGCAGCTGCTGGGGGACATGGAATTGTGGAAGGGACTGCTGAAATAAACCATCCTGAAAGCTTTAAAAATGCCTTGACTTTAAAATGGAACTCAAAAGATGTATTGCTTTGGGGAAGAGGTTATGCTTTTGTTTCCACAGGAAAGGAAAGGCAAGGTTGATAGAGATCAGATTTGTTTGGGGAAGACCCCCTGAAAATCCTGATTACAGACATAAAAGAATAAATGTAAAAGATTTACCTGTTCAAACATAAAACAACAAATCATCTTTGGCTGGCTTGTGTATAACACATGCATGGTCTACACTTGTGTTAATGCAGGTGTGGATGTTACCTTGAAAAGTTCATGTGTTTTCATGAAGAGCAATGGGACCAGACACTCATGAAAACAGGTGGCCCAGGTGTTTCAGCCTCTCAGAGTGCCTCTGTTACAGTTTCCTCAGAGTTCTGCATCCAGAACAGCTTCAAGGCTGCCAGCTGAGACGGTCCACCCATCTCAGACTACCCCAGGCAGACCTCAGATAAGCCACACATTTTCCCATCTCCCAGGACTTGACCATTATCCCAATTTTCTTGGGGTCCAATAAAAGATGCCACTGGCCCCAGACAACAGGAAGCAGTCTAGAAAGCACGATGCCCACATTCCCAAAAGGTGGGATAGCTGTTTTTGGTCATTCAGTGGGTTATGGATGCTTGTCATTGTTTAGGGGGGTTGGTTACAAATTGCTGTTGGTCATAGTCAGAGAGAAAGCTAAACAAGGGAGGTTAGATTCAGGGGATCTCTTTCTGAAGGGGAGAAGGGGGGATATGGTATAGACATGATGGGATAAAGGGTAGATTATTGAGTCTACTTTTGAACAACCACTAGTCTCAAATATTTTACATTGATATGGATTTCTATGTATTGATACAAAGTCTTGTTCCCAGATTCTGTCTCAAAACCAAACAAATAAAATGCTTAAAATGGACAAAATGAATAGCCCTGCAACACAGGATGTCAATTTCTGTTTTCTCTTGAGACAGGAGTCATTGCTCAGTGAAACTAGACTTATCAATGACACTATGGCCTCCATTTCTATAACTTGGGGAGGTTCCTCCTAGGGAGGACACCATTACATATGGGGAGGTTCCTCCTATTGGCAGTTTGGCACTAAACCCGGGACTTTGCCACTTACTGTAAAATGGTGTCTCTGCTCATCCCTCACTTGAAAAGAATGTCCCAAACTTCCTGACACACAGAGCCAGGATGAGTCCGAGAGCATCTCTGACCTTGAGGAGCAAATGTTGAGCAGAAAATAAAAGACCAGAACCCAGAAACGATGCCCACTCCATTCACCAAGGGCTGTAGGAGGTGAACAGAATGGGGAGGAGAGACCCAGAACAGAATCCATGGCAAATGGACATGGGTAGTTAGTGAGTCTGCTTGCTGGGAAGCTGCTGGTGAGAGAAAGAACAGGATCTGGGGGTCCTACTAATACTTTTAGTCATCTGCTTGATGCCCATTCTTTTGTCTTATCCTGTGAATCAGGTTGCTTGAAAGGGGAGCAATGGTCGCTTTCCTCCATTGTACGAAGAGCTCAGCAAGTGCAGCGGTCATAGTCAGTATGGTACCCTCTCCCTCAACTCTGTCACCCAATGCCCACACCTCATTGCTCCTCTAGCTCAAGACACAGGACACAAGCAATCTTTGTGGCATTTATTCTACAATGAAACGAATCCAAAGAAAGCCATGATTTCAAGACAAATCAACATTTGGTTTCTCTGTCTTGGCTGGATTCCACGCCACCAGTGCTACTGTCTCCCAACTGCAGGTTGCTGATGCGGTGTTAGGACATTGAGTACTGGTGATGGCCCTCCAACTTGATACCTTGGACAAAGGGGATTGAGAAGTAGACTCTCTCCATGTTACATGATGGTGTGAGTATTCAGGCCCGTGCACATCCTGAAGAAAGGGGCTGGAGGCAAAGCATGTCCTAGGTGTTCACAGCTTCCCCCCATTATGGATTCTCACAGTAGGCCATGATGCTAAGAGCCTGGGGAAGTTGCCCAACTTAACAAGTTACTGCTATCACCTTTGTATCCCTCATCCTTGGCAGAATTCTTTGGCCCTTTCCTCTGAACTTCACTGATCTTGAGCAGTGTGAAAGCAGAATCATTTTAATGAATACGGTGAACAAAGTATCTCAGTGCCATTTGTTCCCTCCACCCACATTACTCTCCCAATTTTGCACACAAGTGCAGATTTCATAGGGCCTGGGCAGGCTTCCCAGACATCCAGTAGAAGACGGCGTCTGTCAGGAAGGTGGGCAGGTAGCTCATGGGGAGGTACAAGAGCTTGGCATCCCAGCCAGCTGAGTATCGAGTGCGAGGGTGACAGGAAGTCAGCGCGTGCTCCATGCAGTCTGTCACCAAAGTGAGGTCGTCTGAGCCTGATTCTACCATTGAGTTCACTGTTTCTAGCACTGGAGAGAATGAGAAATTATTCTGGGAGACTCCACATCCCACCACCGCTGCTCTGTGACCAACCAAAGAAAGTTTCTCTAGAACCCATTGCCTCCCACAATCAGAAGCCCATGCGTAACCCTAGCATTTCCCAGGTCCTCAGGAACCATGCACACTCAGCCACCTGTGTCCCTGTTCAGAGAATTTTCTGGCTGAATAGATGGAAGGTCTCTCCCAACACTAGAAACAAACCTAAGGTTATGGAGAGCGGTGGTCCTGATGCTGCCTCCCATCCCTGCTTCACTTTCTTCTGTGAGATAATGAAGGGTTCAGATAAAATAGTGCCCCAAGTTCTAGCAGCCAGAGTCCCATAGGCTCCCAAGAATTGGAACTAAACATCTCCACTGTGAGAAAAGGTAGCTCTGGTCAGGCCTTGTGCCAGTAGCAGAAAGTGCAGAGACTTGAGACTTAGGACAAGGTTTAGCTTTGGTGTCTATGGGTCACTCACAGGATAAGAAAAACTTCTCGCCATAGATCTCTTTGACCTCTGAGCTGGCCTGGTTCCACAGCATCTTGATACTTGGCAATAGCCTGTCACTCTTGGTCATAGCAGTCTTGAAGCCTCCAGGCTCGATAATAGCCACCTTTACCCCAAAATAGGAGAGCTCCCTCCTGTAAGATAGCAGCGGGCAAAGGTCAAAGAATCCAGAGATCTTTTGAGGAAAATCATACATTTGACAATACAACATACCAACAAGAGCCTGTGATGAGAAAATGTCAGAAGTTTTGGGTCTGGCATGGCCAGCAGATGGTGATGAAACTTATGGCAAGGACATTGTCTCTGTGCTTCTCATCATCTCTCCAAATATTTTGTGTGTGCAGCTCACTGCTCTAAATCTAGATATGTCTGTCCTATGATGCCAACCAAGTAGGACTTCTGTCCATATAGGGTACACACAATGGCTCACCAGGCTTGCCTACATCAGCTCCCCCTCACTCCTGGGTCCTGCATTCACCTTCTACTGGCTCAGGAAATCTAGGCCAGTTCCTGCCTGGCTCCTTCAGATGTCTTCAGGGAGCTAATCTGTATAAGCAGCTGTAGGACTCCAACTTGAGATCTTTTTCCCCTGCATCTAACAGGAAACCTAACCCAATTTGCTGCAGTGATGCAACAGCTTCAGATGGCTGACCATGCCACCTCATGGTGTATCTGCATCTGTATCTGTATCTGCATCTGCATCTGTATCTGCATCTGCATCTGCATCTGCATCTGTATCTGCATCTGTATCTGCATCTGTATCTGTGTCATCTATACCTATATCTGTATCTGCATCTGCATCTGTATCTGTATCTGCATCTGTATCTGTATCTGTATCTGCATCTGTGTCATCTGTATCTGCATCTGCATCTGTATCTGCATCTGTGTCATCTGTATCTGTGTCATCTGTATCTGTATCTGTGCCATCTGTATCTGCATCTGTATCTGTATCTGCATCTGCATCTGTATCTGTATCTGTGTCATCTGTACCTATATCTGTATCTGCATCTGCATCTGTATCTGTATCTGCATCTGTATCTGTATCTGCATCTGTGTCATCTGTATCTGCATCTGCATCTGTATCTGCATCTGTGTCATCTGTATCTGTGTCATCTGTATCTGTATCTGTGTCATCTGTATGTACATCTGTATCTGCATCTGCATCTGTATCTGTATCTGTGTCATCTGTATCTACATCTGTATCTGCATCTGCATCTGTATCTGTATCTGCATCTGCATCTGTATCTGTATCTGCATCTGCATCTGCATCTGTGCCATCTGTATCTGCATCTGTATCTGCATCTGCATCTGTGTCATCTGTATCTGCATCTGTATCTGTGTCATCTGTATCATCTGTATCTATATCTCTCTATATATATACATACATATATATATATCTGTATAGAACCTTGAGACGCTCCAAAAGCAACCCGGGACAGTCTGCCCAGCCCCACTACTGCCAGGACTGACACACCCTTTGCTCCAGGACGAGGCAGCACTAAAGGCATCTGTCAGCAGTCACACAGGGCCTGGGTTGTCAACATTTTCTTACCCAGGAAGCCCATGTAACCAGGCTGTCCTGTTGCCATGTTCAGCCCTCACCTGAGACCCATGCTGCAGGCCCTGCACAAACCCGATGATTAACACGGTTGCTACTGCTAAAAATCTGTCATTCTTGGGCATGCTCTCTCTCTCTCTCTCTCTCTCTCTCTCTCTCTCTCTCTCTCTCTTCTTTTGCTCTCTCAGTTTCTAGGGTTTTTGTTGCTGTTGGGTTGTTTGCTTAGCATCATCATGCTAGACTATGAGAATTGTGGACTTTGACAAGAGCTTGATAAACACAAGTTGAGTTGAACATGATATTCAGCCACCTCCAGGACAGTCCCAACCTGAGCATCCAAGAGGGTGAGCATCTGTACTCTTGGCCACGTTCAGTGCCACCTTGGACACTTCCTTCTGTGCACAGGGCAGGCCTCCAGGGCAGGACACGGATAAGTAAACCTAGGCCTTGGTCATCTACCAGGGGTATGGAGAGGGTAAGAGCATCCTCCAAACAAGAAAGAAAAATTTCTTCAAAAGTTGTGATCAAATATAACACTCTGACGAAGGTTCCCAACAGGACCCTATAACTCCATTACCTGAGGGAGTCTGAGAAGGCCTCTACACCATACTTGGAGATGCTATAGCCACCACCGAAGCAACACAGTCGACCCATGACGCTGGAGACGTTGACCACACGGCCCCTTGCCTTCCTCACTGAGGGCAGCATGTTCAGAGTCACATCGATCATGCCCAACAGGTTCACATCCAGGACTTTTGCAAAATCTTGTTTGTTCAACCACTCATTGACAGAAAAGGCTGCGATGCCAGCATTGTTGACCAGGCCCCAGAGTCCTGGGAAGAAGAAAGAATCACGTTACACAGGTCTAGTTATGAATAAATTCACATTACACTGGGTAAGGCCATGTGGACAGGCATTGGATGGAGGGTAGAATACAAGTAACGGCATGGTGTATGTGGGCTGGGGATACCCATCCCGGAAGGCATGCTCACAGCATGGATACCGTCTTCTTCTTCATCTTCTTTTGATTCCTGATAGTCTAGCTCATTACCTGAGAGGCAGCAACTTGCCTCTTCACCTTTGCTGATAATAAGAACAGATGTTGAAGACATACAATGCTCCCTTAATCTGGACACATGGAAACTATGTTTGCATCTTACAGATTAATAATATCTTGCAGGTGAGGGAGCAGAGGAGAAGACAAAAATGAAAAGGGAAGAGAGGGCAAGTGACTAATAAAACCTGGTGTGTCCTACTTTAAAAGAAATGTGAGGTTGAGGAGGAGGGTATGGAAGAAGGGTAAGGACGAACTAGAGAGGAGAGGGAGGAGTTAGGAGGATATAATACAAATTGCATAGCATCGATGCATGAAATGATCAAAGAATAAATAAAAAGTCTTGAAAACATATTGAGCAACTTTCCTGGGATGCTTGCGACACCATGCCAGTGTGAAAGAGAGGTGGACCTTGCTGCAAACAACAGAACGTGGGCTCCCCCTTCTGCCCCAGAAAATGGCGTCCTCTCTTCACACTGGCACGCAGGTCACCCTCACTCATCCTTCTCAGGCCCTGGGTGATGGATCTCCAGGTAACCCTCTCTGCAAGCTCTACCATCAGCAACGCAACGAGACAGCACACTGACATTGCTAAGCTCCGTGCGTGGACAACTGGGGACTAACTGATCTGAGGAAAGCATGTCACTTTTTTCTTAAAATCAGGCTCAATAAGTCAGATGCCCCTTCAGTTCAAAACAATGCCTTGCTTTCTGGAGATGAATATTGTTTAATCGAGGTCTTTTATTTCTAGGGTCTCAACCTGTTCATGCCTGCTGATAATTGAAATAAATGATTTTGTCAAGATAGTGCTTATGGTAAAAAATGTGAGAAACAAGCTGGGCATGATGGCATGTGCAAGCAAGACCCTTTAATAAAGTATAATAATAGTAATAATGATAAGAAAAGAAAACAAAGAAGCATGTTCCATAGACTCCAGTATTCAGCCCCAAGATACATTTAAATTCTGAGAGATTTGTTAAAGGTTGGTTCTAAGTCACTGAACACCATTATTTGAAGGAATGTTCTTGAGGTAGCTAAATTAATCATTTTTTATGAAAAGAATTCACATATTTTAATCCTGCATAGGTAAAAATGTTTCCAGGATTTATGTGAGGGGAATGAGAACATTGGTTATTTTTATTTTGACTTTTATTCCCCAGTGTTTTGAACAATAATTCTATTCTCAATTTACTCTTAAAACCACTCTCCTTTTCTTCGTATTAGTATAGTAAAAGAAGAGTGGCCAGGAGCAGTGGCACACACCTTTAATCCCAGGACTTGAGAGACACAGGCAGGGAGATCTCTGTGAGTATGAGGCCAGCCTGACCTATAGAGTGAGTTCCACTCTATAGCGATACACAGAGAAACCCTGTCTCAAAAACAAAACAACAACAAAAGCAAGCCTACTTCTTAGTATGTAGTTTGCCAAGTCAGACCTTAACCTTGCCCTGGCCTGCTCTCCTCACAGACCATCTTGTCTCCCTCCATAGAGGACGGCAGGTGACAGGTAAGAGCAAGTTCAGAGCTGACACAGGAGATCCACTCCAGCGTGGCCCCAGGGACCCTCCCTGCACACAGAGCCCAGGGACAAGTCCCACCCCCGACTCCAGAAAGGGGCCCTGCTCTAAGGTGGCACCAGCACCCAGCACTCTAGGTTTTCTGCACAGAGGAGATGACAGCAAAGACAGGAACACGGGAAGGCGACTCCTCATCTTCTTACTGAGACTGGAGAATTGGGAGACAGCAGGTAGGGGCTGGAGAGAGAGAAAGCACTCAGATGATGTCAGGGGAGGGCAGGAGGCTGCTGTTACTTCAAGTGCCCCAAACCCCTTCAGGGATCTTGCCAGGGAGTGTGAGGGGAGACCCTTTCCAATGGGGAGTCAGACCAATAGACACAGACGGGCGTCTCAGTGGTACCTCTGTTCCCAACTCGTTCCTTTACCCACTGAGTGGCTGCCACAACACTCTCTGTCTTGGTGACATCAAGGATCACTGTCCCCAGCCTGGCTGACGTCTTGCTCTTCAGCTCCTCGGCTCCCTTCTCCGTCAGACATGCAGCCAGCACCCTCATGCCTCTCCTGTCCAGCTGTCTGGCCAGCAGGTTCCCAAAGCCGGAGTCACAGCCCGTGATGAAGACATACTTGTCTTGGAGATGGCTCACCACCTGTCTCTCCCTGAACAAGCGCAGGAGGGTCCACAGGCCCACTAGAGCCACCAAGTAGAGCCACATGGCTTTCAGAAGACAAGCCAAGAGCAAGATAATCTTAAGTCAAAATGAGCTTGACATCAACTCACAAAGGAAGAAGTAGGCACGGAGGACTGTGGACTTCTGTCATGCAATCCACATGTTCCTCTCTGGCCACGGTATTTCTGGAACATTTAATTTGTGCCTGACCTCTGCTCTTTGGACCGCTTTTGGTGTCCTGATATCTAATGCCATTTTTTGCTGCCAAAGAATACACACTGTTAAGCAACACACTTCTGTTCTCTTATGATGTTTTTTCTTCTACTCATGTGGGAATACATGCTTGTTTCCTCACTCACGCTCACTACAGTAAGTCCCAGGCTCACCTGTGTCTCTGCACCTTGCACTCCAGTGCTGCGAACCCAGGGCCTTGTGAACACAGTCAGGCGCTGGTGCCAACTGTGCTTGGGCTCAGGACACATTTACAAGGAAATCCTGCTCTGAGCTCAGGTTTCCTCCTCAGGTTCCTCAGCCAGAAACTCTCCTCAGAAAACAGTAGCTCTCCTTGTCTCTAGAATTTCAGGGTAGCTAGAGACAAGACAGGGTGAGCAGCTGCCTGGGAGGATTGAGGTTCCATCTACAAACAGAAGTCTGACCCCAAAGGAACACAAGGCGACGGTGGCTGGGGACCCCAGGCACATAGTGACTCTCAGGAACTGATGTGGAGGAAGAAATGGCATAGCTTCTCAAGATGCCATCCATGCTAGTTTTGTTGTTGTTCCTTTCTTGATTATTAGTTTTTTTGTCAACTGATACAAGCCAGAATCAAATGGGAAGAACCTAACCTGAGAAAATGCTTCCATCAGATTGCCCATAGGCAAGTCTGGGGTGGCATTTCCTTGACTGTTAATTGATGAAGGAAGGTCTACTCCCCTATGGGTGTGGTCAGCCCTAGACAGGTGGTCCTGGGCAGTATAAAATGTGGGCTGAGTTAGCCAAGCAGAGCACACCAGGAAGCAGCATTACCCCATGCTTTCTGCTTCAGTTCGCGACTCCAGGCTCCTGCTTTGAGCCCCTGCCCCGACTGCTCTTCATGAAGCCCGTCAATGATAGGGTGGGATAAACCCTTTTCTCCCCATGATGCTTCTGCTGATGCACAGCAACAGAAGGCTATTGAGGACAGACATCCTTCTCTTGGCTCTACAGATTCAACTGGACACAAGGGTAGCAATTTTGCGTTGTAACCACCATGAATGCCCCCAGAGTAACCTAAGCCAGGATTTCTTGCATAATTTCCCAGGAAACATAGTCACACTAAATTCCTAGAGATACTTGGAGCTTTGCATCTGGTTCCTGGAACATGCTTGACTGAATTGCTGAATCAGTCTAAAATATACCAGGAACTTTCCAGCAAGAACACAGTTACATACCTCCTTACCCATGATTTACACCAATTTTTAACTCAATTTACATGAATCAGATAGTCTTGTCATTCTCAAAGATCAGATTTCTACCCAAGAAGTCCTCCAATGCAGTGTATACGCTATATAAACTCCATCTATCTGCTTTTCTTTGTTAGGTCTCACAGCACCTCATGTCTGCTCCCCATTCTCTAAGACTCCATAGTTCTTGAAAGCTATGTGGGAGCGCATAATTTTGCCCACTGGTCTCCATTTTTGTAGCTTCCTCTGTATTGTCATATACACAGAATCAAGACTCCTCAGTCACCAAGGGTCTAAAAGCAGTGGCACCTCAGGGGAACAAGGACCACAAAGCCAACAGGCTTCCCCGGAACTTATCCAAGCCCAGAGACCCCTAAGAGTACAGATCCAATAGGTGCTGCTCAGCCTGTGTCACGTGTGTGTTTCCCCCAAGGGTCCTGACACAGGGCTAGAATCTGAACCCCACGAAACTGTCTGTTGAGGACTCCACAGTGAAGTACAGATGCCGTGTCTCAAGATGAATGAAGAAGGGCAGGGAGCTAGAAGAGCTGGGAGAGAGAAAAGCCAAAGTTTCAAGTCTCCGAGCCGCCGCCTTCAGCCATCAGCTCTCTAAGGGGAAAGTCATGCCATAAAGGCAGGTAGGTTTGTACACCAGCTCAAGTGCGCGTCTGAGAACGGTGAGACAGACAGACCACCGCTCCATCATAAGGCCTGAGCTCTGCTCTCCAGCAGGGAGTGAGCTGTGACCTGGAGCTGGGCCACTCTTCCTTCAAGGTGGGTGGGTAGCTGCCCCGCTCCTGCCCGTCCTCCGCACCTGCCCCTGCCCCACCCCGCCTCCCCCTGCTCCTGATCTTGCAGGGCTTCCCCCATAAGCACAGGTGTTTAGAATGTTCCGGAAGGATTGGGAGGAGTGGTCTTGTTGGAGGAGGTGAGTTGCTGGGGGCCGGCTTTGAGGGGACACAAGATTCCCTCCACTAGGTAACCCTGCTCCCTGCTCCCTTGACATGTGAGCTACTTGGCTGACTCCAGCACCTGCCTCTAGGCCTTTGCCCCACCATCACGGACCCGTTGGAGCCAAACCCAATTAAAGCTTTCTTTTGAAAGTTATCGTGTTTGTGGAGTTTGATCAGAGCAGTCAAGGGCTTCTAGTCACACAGCAGGATCTAGACCAGCCCCGGGAATTTTCAGAAGTCAGTGGGAATATGAGTCTGGGTGCAGCTCACTCACGTGGAGCCTCAGGGCTGAAGAGAAATCCTCAGAGACACCTGCCTGTCCCGTGGAGCTTCCCTCCGCCTCCATCCCTCCACTAAGATTACTGCACAAGCCACCCGGTAGCGTCCAGCTAGTCCTCTTCGCTGTCCTGGGGCTGGGGTAGCACCTGGTCCCATTGCAGGCCTGAATTTGTGTGTGTCTAAACCCTCCAGCTGTTCTGATGTCTGGGCTGTGGTGCTGAGGCAGAGTCTGAGCAGAGCCACCTACTGGGACCAAGACTCCAGAGCAGTCCAGCTCAGCCAGGAGGGAAGCACCTCTCCAGTGAAGGTCAGGGCAGCCCCGCCCACCACACTCTTTCTTCTTCATGCAGGAGGGAGGGATGGAGCGTGGAATCACAGAGGTAACTGTGGGAAACAGGCCCACTGTGCAAGCCTGTTCCAGTCCTGCCCTCATGCAGGCCCTGCTTCGTCTAACCTGGGGTCCCAGAAATTAAGGAGTGTTAGGTTCTAATGGCTGAGGATCTAGGGTTGGAGACCTGAGTTTGGGGTTTCTACACTGGTCTTGCTCAACTTTCCAAGAGAACATGGGCCGACCTGAATGAACAACACAGGGGCACTTGCAGACTCTTGGCTCCTTTCCATCTTGGTCATCCTGTTCCTTCACTGTTCTGAGACTGAAGCCAACACTCACTGTGAGTTTTCTGGTGAATTTCTTGGAATACTGCATGCTAGTCTATTATCATGTGTAAATTGAGTGTTTGTAAGTATCCATCACATAGGAAATAACTGCATGGCATGGCGGCAGGCACGTGTAATCCAAGCGATGGAGACACGGAAGCCCGACACAGGAGGAGGAAGCCATGTGAATGTGTGCTACTGACATGGGCACCGCCATGACAGGGGCCCAGGCCTCAGACCCAAGGATCCTTGGCTAAGTCTTCCCTTACAAGGGTCAGGCCCAGAATTGGCCAAGTCTTCATCCTCTGGTCCAAGTTTGGGTGTTTATGGATGATGCAGTAGTCTTGAGAAAGCTAGCAACTGCAGCTTCCTGGGGGTTCTAGCCTGAGGTGCTGCCTTCAGACCTCCTCCAGAGAACAGCCAACCCCTCCTCCATGCTGTCCATAATAACGTGCCGAGGGCACAGGTTGCCGTGGAAGCAGCTGAGGCTCCATCAGAGCACACGCAAGCCACCGGATGCCGGCGTTTCTGTACACGTGTCTGTGAGCCTGTCCTTCTTCATTCCCTCAATGAACCTCAGATTCCCTTTGGGTTTCAGACCTAAGCCAGATGGTGTGCTGTGGTGAAACTAGGGACTCACGTCGCGATGCGCCTGTGTGACATAGGGATGCTCTGTCTGAGACTGACTAAATGAGTAACTAAAATATAAACAAGAGGCTAGCCATAGGGACAGCTGGTGAGAGCCCTGGCTTCTTTATCAGGGGACCCAAATTTTATTCCCAACCCTGTGGTTAGGTAACTCACAAGTCCTACGACTCCACTTGCAGGGGCTGCAATGATCTGGACTCTACTCCAACACACATAGAATGCAGACACACATGCAGACAGATAACTAAAAGTCAAATCTTTGAAATAAAAGGAGGCAGTGGTGACCCTGAGGTGTGGAAGATCACTTTCTATTTTCACCCACGTTGGGAATCATTGTTGAGACACAGCAGTTCCTCCTGTCACTCTGTGTCCTCTACCTTCACACCCAGGGCAGAAAATCAGGCACCTATGGCTGTGCCTCCAATGACAAGGTTGACTGCACCCAGGAGCCCTCCTTCTCCTGAGGACCCGTGACCTGACACTTCACTCATGTGCCCCAACTACAGACACAGGCAGAGGCTTCACAGAGCTTTGGCGGGCTTCACGGACATCCAGTAGAAGATGGCGTCTGTCAGGAAGGTGGGCAGGTAGCTCATGGGGAGGTACAAGAGCTTGGCATCCCAGCCAGCTGAGTATCGAGTGCGAGGGTGACAGGAAGTCAGCGCGTGCTCCATGCAGTCTGTCACCAAGGAGAGGTCCTCACTGCACTTTTGGTCCAGTGACTTTAGAAATGTCAGATCTATGCAGAATGAGAAACACTTCAGGTGGTGTTTACCTCCACCACTCCTGCTCTAGACCAACATGGAGGAACCTTTCTAGATCCCATGCCTCCCACGTTAGAAGCCACGCCCAAGCATAGCCTATCCCAGGTCCTGAGGAGGGACCACAACCCAGCTTCACGAAGAACCAGGCACCTCACCACCTGTGTCTTAGCTCATGGGAGGTTCTGTCTAACCCCGGCTCCCCTCAGTGACTTCCCTCAGCTTCATGATGATGAGAGGTTCAGATGGAAGAGAGCACCATGTTCTGAATGTCAAGAACTCTCTCAGACCCCATACCCACCCTCCCCACCACATGGGTCTAAATGTGCTTTCCTTGATTGGAAAGATAATGGCGTTAGTACTGGCAACAGGAATGGAAACTAAGGATTCAGGACTAGGCTTGGTTTTGATCCTTGCAGCTCACTTACAAGATGTCAGGTACTTCTCGCCATACATCTCTCTGACCTCTGAGCTGGCCTGGTCCCACAGCATCTTGGCACTTGGCAAATGAATGTCACCACTGCTTATACTAGTCTTGAAGTAACCAGGCTCAATAATAGCCACCTTTACCCCAAAATAGGAGAGCTCCCTCCTGCAAGACAGAC